GTCAAAGTCACCCCAATCAACTGGTGTCTGTGTAATCCCCAAATGTAGGCTGTCACCAAATTTGAAGACATTGGATACAACAGTGCATGAGATATCACGTTAACATGAGTTAAAAGTGGTCAAAGTGTCGTGGTGACCTTGAAGATAAGGTCATGGTCACCCCAATCAACTGGTGTCTGCGTAATCCCCCAATGTAGGCTGTCACCAAATGTGAAGACACTGGGTACAACAGTCCATGAGATATATCGCGTTAACAAGAGTTAAAAGTGTGAAAAGTGTCGTGGTGACCTTGAAGATAAGGTCATGGTCACCCAAATCAACTGGTGTCTGCGTAATCCCCCAATGTAGGCTGTCACCAAATTTGAAGACAATGGGTACAACAGTCCATGAGATATCGCGTTAACAAGAGTTTGAAAAGTGGTCAAAGTGTCGTGGTGACCTTGAAAATAAGGTCAAAGTCACCCCAATCAACTGGTGTCTGTGTAATCCCCAAATGTAGGCTATCACCAAATTTGAAGACATTGGATACAACAGTGCATGAGATATCACGTTAACAAGAGTTTGAAAAGTGGTCAAAGTGTCGTGGGTGACCTTGAAAAAAAGGTCAAGGTCACTCCAATGAACTGGTGTTTGCGTAATCCCCCAACGTAGGCTGTCACCAAATTTGAAGACAATGGGTACAACAGTCCATGAGATATCGCGTTAACAAGAGTTAAAAGTGGTCAAAGTGTCGTGGTGACCTTGAAGATAAGGTCATGGTCACCCAAATCAACTGGTGTCTGCGTAATCCCCCAATGTAGGCTGTCACCAAATTTGAAGACATTGGGTACAACAGTTCATGAGATATCGCGTTAACAAGAATCGGGACGTACGTACATATGGATGCCGTGAACATGGACAGTCATACACCAGACATGTTACATGGACAGTCATACATTAGACATGTCACATGACAGTCACACGCTTGACATGTCACATGGACAGTCACACGCTTGACATGTCACATGGACAGTCGTACACTAGACATGTCACATGGACAGTCACACGCTTGACATGTCACATGGACAGTCATACATTAGACATGTCACATAGACAGTCACATGCTTGACATGTCACATGGACAGTCGTACACTAGATATGTCACATGACAGTCACACACTAGACATGTCACATGACAGTCACACGCTTGACATGTCACATGGACAGTTGTACACTAGACATGTCACATGACAGTCACACACTAGACATGTCACATGGACAGTCATACATTAGACATGTCACATGACAATCACACACTAGACATGTCCCATGACAGTCACACACTAGACATGTCACATGGACAATCACACACTAGAGATGTCACCTGGACAATCACACACTAGATAAGTCACCTGGACAATCACTAGACACCTGGACACACACTAGACATGTCACACACTTGACATATGCATGTCACATGGACAATCACATACTGGACATGTCACATGGCAGTCACACACTAGACATGTCACATGGACAATCACACACTTGACATGTCACATGGACAGTCATACATTAGACATGTCACATAGACAGTCACATGCTTGACATGTCACATGGACAGTCATACACTAGATATGTCACATGACAGTCACACACTAGACATGTCACATGACAGTCAAACACTAGACTTGTCACATGACTGTCAGACACAAGACATGTCACATGACAGTCATAGTATCATCAGACACACACTGGCCTACATAGTACCATCAGACACACAGTTATCTACATAATACCATCAGACACACACTGGCCTACATAGGACCATCAGACACACAGTTATCTACATAGTACCACCAGACACACACTGGTCTACATAGTACCATCAGACACCCACATACCTACATAGTACAATCTGACACACACTTACCTACATAGTACCATCAGACACACACTGGTCTACATAGTACCACCACACACCCACTGGCCTACATAGTACCATCAGACACACTGGCCTACATAGTACCATCAGACACCCACTGGCCTACATAGTACCATCAGACACACACTGGTCTATTCGGTACCATCAGACACACACTTGCCTACTTAGAACCATTGGACAACTATTGATCCATTTAATACCATGTGTCAGAAATTATAGGGGCTGTATAATCATATTCACATTAGTCAAAGTGATCAAGAACTCCTTTGAATTAATGTCAGTAAATAAAGTAATTATGTGACTAGTAAGGTCAAGTAATGAATCCAAGACGTACCTGGTGATTGAGCTATCTGACAATCACATGATTCATCTTCACAATCAGGTTATCAACTTCCCTCACTCCAATAATGATAACTTCAAAAGCAGATTTACTTTTTCTCTCAACTGTATTCGTGAATATTTTTCCAGTGGACTTGATCCCACGTAGTCAGGTGAATCCATAAATCGATGACTGTCACATGAAAACAGTGTCAGTACGAAAACAGATACATTATCGGCTAATATAAAGCACTTTCACTCCTTACAAAATCAAAAACGTCAATAGAAAAATGCAACATTATGACTAAATTAGCCCTTTTTGAAAGGCAGTGATCAAATTTTCCTTTCACGTACCTGATCATAAATGCTTAGTGATCGTTATGCATTTCATCTCGCACATTTCTGTCACCTGCCGGCCAATCACAGCTGACTAAAACATTGCTGATGAATGAAACCCATGTCAGGCATGATGGATGTTGAATATTGGATTAAGTCGTCAATTAGCACAAATCCTAACTGTAAATATAATCAATTTCATGTCAATCAAGGTGCTGAGATACATTTAGCTGTATCAATATTCCTGCTTATCTTTGGGAGGCTAGGGTCTACTGGACACAGACTTTCAATTACCATTCGGCAGACTTCACTTGTGAGCATCAATATATCTAATAAAGACTTCAGCCTAAACATATGCTTAAGAGAATCCTAACAAAGCTGGCTTGATGAACAGGGATATAGCTGGCTTTGTCCAGCTTCAGAGACAAAGCCCAACAGCATTGATATTCCAGCCTTGCCTCATCCTTAAATGTAGTATGGAAAAGGACTATTAGGGAAGGCGTGGAATGGCATATGCTGATTGGCTGTTTTGACAGTTCTGACAGATGAAGATAACACTTTGACTTCAGACTAAAGTGGCCAAATTGTAAACAGCATCAAGCTCTGACCACTGAGGTAGGAGAACACATGGTCAAGTACATGGTGTTCTGACCAGGTAGGGGAACACAGTAAAGTACATGGTGTTGTGACCACTGGGGTCGGGGAACACATAGTCAAGTACATGGTGTTGTGACCACTGGGGTTGGGGAACACATAGTCAAGTACATGGTGTTTTGACCACTGGCGTTGAGGAACACATAGTCAAGTACATGGTGTTCTGACCACTGGGGTTGGGGAACACATAGTCAAGTACATGGTGTTGTGACCACTGGGTTAGGGGTGTTGTGAACAACATAGTCACATGGTCAAGTACATGGTGTTCTGACCACTGGGGTTGGGGAACACATAGTCAAGTACATGGTGTTGTGACCACTGGGTTCGGCACATGGTGTTCTGACCACTTGGGGGAACACATAGTCAAGTACATGGTGTTGTGACCACTGGGGTAGGGGAACACATAGTCAAGTACATGGTGTTCTGACCACTGGGGTAGGGGACCACATAGTCAAGGGTGTAGGGAACACACTGGGTTCTGACCACTTAGGGGAACACATAGTCAAGTACATGGTGTTGTGACCACTGGGGTTTGGGAACACATAGTCAAGTACATGGTGTTCTGACCACTGGGGTAGGGGAACACATAGTCAAGTACATGGTGTTCTGACCACTTGGGTAGGGGAACACATAGTCAACTACATGGTGTTCTTACCACTTGGGTAGGGGAACACATAGTCAAGTACATGGTGTTCTGACCACTTGGGTAGGGGAACACATAGTCGACTACATGGTGTTCTTACCACTTGGGTAGGGGAACACATAGTCAAGTACATGGTGTTCTGACCACTTGGGTAGGGGAACACATAGTCAACTACATGGTGTTCTGACCACTTGGGTAGGGGAACACATAGTCGAGTACATGGTGTTCTTACCACTTGGGTAGGGGAACACATAGTCAAATACATGGTGTTCTTACCACTTGGGTAGGGGAAAACACATAGTCAAGTACATGGTGTTCTGACCACTTGGGTAGGGGAAAACACATGGTCAAGTACATGGTGTTCTGACCACTTGGGTAGGGGAACACATAGTCAAGTACATGGTGTTCTTACCACTTGGGTAGGGGAACACATAGTCGAGTACATGGTGTTCTTACCACTTGGGTAGGGGAACACATAGTCGAGTACATGGTGTTCTTACCACTTGGGTAGGGGAAAACACATAGTCGACTACATGGTGTTCTTACCACTTGGGTAGGGGAACACATAGTCGACTACATGGGTTTGAGGCATGATGGTACAGAGGCTTATTGGGATGAGTATTTATAAAGAATTTTTTGGAGGAAAAAGGACTAATGAAAGGCATTTCCATGTTTTCTTGTCCTACTCTGAAGAAACACCCATCTTGCCTTACTAAGACAGAATCAGTTTCCATGATGTTCAACAATCACTGTGACACAATAAGTGGGGAATATGAATGTATTCTCTGATTAGCCACTGAATCTCTTCACCCCTGCTCCCTATATAAGGACATGTACTCAGTTAGACAGAAGACATAATAAATACATAAATGTCTGCTATTACTTTGTCTCTATTGAACACAAGCATCACAGTCTGGGATGGTTTTGCTTTAAATCTGTGACACTGAGTAGACAGTTATGTGTGCTCATACAAAATATAATGCAGAATGAACAATGAAACACACAAGAGAGATGAAACTGTTTTTGTGAAACACTGGTTATGCTGTATGAAAACAGCTACTGATATAAAGTGATATAGGAGGTTACAAACAGGCTGTTTTGAATGAAAGCTTCTAAAGTCCTTACTTATCTGCCCCACTTCACTGTCATCCGGTTGATCATTACTCACGGCGAGGTTACTCTCCAGGATGGTTGTTGGTTCTACAAAACACAAGATAAAAAACTCATAATGATGAGAAACTGTAACTATATAAAAGGGATGTGTCTTTAAACACTTTTCTCAGAATCAATTTGACAGGAGTTTGGCGCAAAGGTTTGTTTCTGAATATTGATAATGTCAAAGTGTGTTTGAGACTCCACCAACTCTAACAAAGACGCTAAACTTCCCTGATAGACACCATCTCCACCACACATACGCCAGGAATGGACTTGTTAAATCATGACGTATCAGTAGTTTTTTGCCATATCATTATTCTGAAATTGTCATATCAACTGTAATTGACAGGTACAAGAAACAAAACCAAAACTTACTGTGTCATAAGATATTACAACTAAAGAAAGCAAAAAGGTCACTTTTGTCAGAAAGCTCAACTTCATAAAAAATTACATTCAGAAATAAAAATGTTATCGTGAGCAGAATGAGCTCTAATCAGTGTAAGAATATCAAAGCACTGTAACATCAACATTTGGCATTAGAATTTACAAAATCTCACAGTAACCCTACTGTGACTATCACTCTAGCACATGGAAGAGGCCTAGAGTACAGACAGAATCTTCCCATAGCCATGTGGCAACAACCTAAGGCTGTGTGGATATCACCAGGATGATGACTTGAACTGTCACTAGTCATGTGGCAACAACCTCAGGCTGAGTGGATATCACCAGATTGATGACTTGAACTGACACTAGCCATGTGGCAACAACCTCAGGCTGTGTGGATATCACCAGATTGATGACTTGAACTGCCACTAGCCATGTTGGCTTGAACTGCCACTAGCCATGTGGCAACAACCTAAGGCTGTGTGGATATCACCAGATTGATGACTTGAACTGCCACTAGCCATGTGGCAACAACCTAAGGCTGTGTGGATATCACCAGATTAACTGTTAGTACCAGTGACATCACAGCAGCTACTTCTGACCATCCTTGACCATGACCAACCAGGACCATTGCCTTCAGGTCTTGCAGGTCAGAAACATTTTGATAATGATTATGTCAAAAGTTCCAACAAGAGTTGGTCATGAAGTCAACAGATGACTGATGCTGCATTGGCCGCTTTCATAATGGCCATAAGATCCAAACATCCAAGTCTGAGATATACATGTGCCATAAATCAGTAACACCAAGAAGAAAATAGTTTTCTGTTTCCTTTAAACATTCATTACTGTCACAATAAAGGGAACTTGGCATAAACAGGCTATATCATCTAAAGTACATAAAAGCATTCTGTGAACTAATCTTGGTCTTCTTCTGACACTTCCCTCTCCAGAGATACAAACTCAATTTTCTCCCAAGAATCTGTTTGGTCCAATCCTTGTCACATGATAAATCTAGACCGGTTCCTAACACCCATGATAGAGGGCACCTGGATGAACACGTGTCCTTGACACCCATGGGAATAACACAAAGCCATAAGGCCAGCATTATCTTTGGCCTTCTCTGTGTATCTAGACACAGGCACTATGTTCACCAGCCTAACCTGTCTCTTTCTTAAAGGTCACATGCAACCAAAAAATCAAACATAATTAAAACACAATTATCACTTCTTCATGACATATAATATGCATTGCTGATTATGAAAAGACAAATAAACAAAATTATAAGCGTATAATCGCAAATCAAATGTGCAATATTTTGTACTTGGGTTTACCTCCCTCGAAACGAAGCAGCCGGGATACCGAACCCAGTCAGAGCGGGTGGGTGTGCACTCAAGTGTAACGGCTGGTTCATTTGCAGATGCCTTCACGGCTAATTGTGTGTATATATATGGATGTTGGGTTTTGTAAATACATGCTCATTTTTTGTGTATAACATTTTGCAATCAACAGACATCATAACATATCATGTGTTCCAAGTATCACACCTGCCTGTCTGTGTAATTACATAATGTGACAGAGACCTAACTCGGCCATAAATCAATGCGCTTTTGTTTATGGTGTATAGCCTGATTGGTGTTAAGTTCAAATTGCATGTGGTCAGTGGTCGCAGTTGTATATTGAATATTGTCATTAGCAGACAGGCAGGCAGACACACAGGTGTCAATAAAAACAAGACATTGAGTTTTGTCTGTGACAGCGACATATCTATATCACAGTTAGAAATTGTGTCAACGCTTAAATAATGACATTGCTTTTAAGTATCGAACTGAGAAAGTGACTTCGGTAAGAAGAACGTGTGGTGAAATAGACAAATGAAATTATATAAACAGTTTATTTACTGTCATAACATATAAAAAGCTCGCGCCTGTGAGATATCAACAAAACATTATGAAAACAATTTTATAAGTTGAATTTGCATTTTGACGCTTTGTTTCGGTATGTCCATACCGAAAGGTATCAGAATCTGCAAAGTTGTGTTTTACGTTGCATGTGACCTTTCAGATATTAATGCTAATTTTTCGCAACAGTAATGAAAACAAAACCATTCAGGAATTTCAATCACTCCTATATCAAAGGTTTCAGATGTTCTTTGTGTTCTGAGACAGATACATACCCTGCAACTGGTGAGTGAGTGAGTGAGTGAGTATTGATAAATGCCACATCATCAAGTGTAGTAGCGTTACATAGTAGCGTTCACATGTTTATTCATAAACTATATACAACACAAAGTTGACTTTGCCACATTAGTTTGCAGCTAATTGTGGCAACTGGATTGGGAATATTATGCAAAGCCAGCACACTGTCGAGATATGTAGAGGTTATTTTATGTGTCTAGTGAAATATGATACTTTCGCATTTTTGACATCAGGAGATGAATGTAACAGATGTTATATTTGGGATTACACTTTCTTAGTAAAGTACAAATTCTAGAACTTTTGTTTTGTTTTGAGTTGAGCCCCATCGGGGATTCGAACTCCGGCCTCAGAGTCATTGTGTAATCATCAGGAGATGAAGTCATCCAATGCCCATGTTTGTTGACTAAGAGCATTTATATCAACATATGAAATTTCTGTCACTGCAGTGAAAATATCACTTTTTTCAAAAGTTAGAAGTCTTTCACTCTTAAGTGCATGATAAACCCAGGTACTGGATGTGAAATATGACACACTATCGGGTAGCATCAGGTAGGTTTAATTCAAGGAATGCTATCGCAAACTAGTACTGTTAGCTGTTCCTAAGAGGGCCCTGTGCTTTGTACACCGCTCTTCAAGCAGACAACCTTACATAATTACAAGGATGGCCATCGGAGCACAGGTTTCCTTGAAATATAACAGCCCAAGATCGGTACATCCGGGTACTACATTGGCGTACTGCCATGGGTGAGAGCACAGCCGCCAGGGTGCCTGGACTTCGCAGGATATCCGGTCAAACTGTACGGAACAGGATGAGAGAGATTGGACTGAGAGCCAGGAGACCCGACGTCGGGACCGAGCTACATCATCACCATCGCACTCAACGTCTCTGGTATCTAATATTATCCACTTGGTTGTATAGACATTACCTTCTTCTAAACTGATGTAAAAATTCATGTACTAAAGTCTATTTGTTGACGAGTTATACATGTTTGAAAATATAACACTTTCGCAACAGATTTCTGGGTTATGCGTTTCTTTTTTCAAATAGAATATATATAGCATTCACTGATGTAGTCGATGTGTGGAGCTTTACTGCTTAAAGGAGCACTGATCCAGAGCGATTAATGTTCACGCTAACAATCTAATTGCGAATCCTAGCTGTAAGCTGGTCAGTCTCTGCTTCTTCGACCGTGATGGACACATGGACTTGGCTACTGTCCTTCTTGGCAGAATTTCTTCAACCTAAACAGTGGGACATTAGGAAGGATGGATGCCCATCAGATGCCGTTATTTGAAAATATCCCCTGCAGTTCTTGTCTGATTGTAGCATCCCAGCAGTGTAGGCTTTTCAGATTTTCTAGTTCCTGGATGGTAAAGTGAATGATCCAATTTGATCCTATTTCTGTGTTTTTTACTTTGATATTTCATCACGTCATGTAAAATATTATGTCTATTACTAGTATCTATGAGGTAAACACACATTTGATTTCTTTGAATCTGTAAACTAAACAACCCCACTTTGCCATTGCTAGAAAAATCTGCTTTAGGTTACTTAAATAGGTATGTACCGTTTTTAACTTTAGTACACAGTAAATGCTTATATCTATTTCTTATGCAACAATGAAGTTCATATCCTCAAGACAGTGTCTACCCCTAAGTGTTTTTAGGCAATTAAAATTGCATGCAATACAGCGATTAGTACTCCCTTGCTGTAACCCGTGTTTGGTGGTATAAACCTATACTTGTTTATTTGTCATCATTCACTTGATGGTCAGTTAGTGAATTTATAACATGTATAATTAGTGGTAACACCACTCAGATTACCCGACAAAGGTTCCCATTTAGCATTTCTCGTGTCTGGAGTAAATACTCAGCATTATGAATGAAGATCTGATGTGGCAAATGTATTATACTACCAATTGCGCTTGTGGGTGGCGCAGCAGAGATTGCAAACCAAGAATATACCAAATATTGTAGTCGAGCTTCGTGTTTGTGGAACATTTTGTTCATTTTTCCCTTTATTGACACTCTTGTTTGATTTCATACTCTCTGATAGAATCTGATACACATTCTTACGATTGAATATCCGATCAGTTACGCTTCAATGAAGATCTGTTATGAATATTTGATGATCTGGAGTGACTTTTTACAATCATCAAGATTTGAGTATGCGATCTGTTGTGATTTCTTATGTTTTGAGATGTTCATAACGATCTGCTACCTTTTGTTGCCTTCTGTTTGGACAAAGAGGGTCTATTAAACATGATTGTGACACAATTGGTATAAAAGGAGGTAATTTTTGCATTTCGTTACTATGTCCAGTGACTCCATCGTGACAACATGGATACATGCCTATATCCAGCTGCAGGCACTTGAAAGGGAGCAACAGCAGACACAGGGAAGAAAGAGAAAACTAAAAGAGGTAGAAAGTGGTGGGTGAGACCATGAATGACTGAAGACAGAAGG